ATGTTATCTGTTGTCACTGGAGGTGTGACTCAAGTAGGAGAGCACCTGCCTTGCAAGAGTGAAGCCCTGGGTTCAAGCCCCAGTACTGTCAGAAAAAAGATATTTTCAGGCCTATTGCCGGCTGAGATTCCGCCTTTAATTCCAGCACTTGGGAGGCAGACTCAGGAGGATCATGAATTGGAGGTCAACCTGGGCTTACAATAGTGAGATCCTATCTTCCAAAGATGTTATGTGTCATTTATATATAGGAATGTTATAAAATATACATTTGAATGTGGATGTGAAAAAGCTCACATCCACATCCTGTTAACTTACAGGCTTTCATTTTTCTTCTGCCTAGAATTTCTTTTTATCTTTTATCTAAGTTCCAATTTCTCGTGTGATTTTTTATTTTTGCACTTAACAAGGACATTTCAATGGACATTTATTTTGAAATACTTTTCAAGTTTAAAGTTTCAAAAGGTGAAAAATAGTTCTAAAATTATATCTAATACATTGTGGTCATTCTGCCATTCCTTACAAAGCCCTTCAAATCATCTATGGGATGTTTCTTCCCTAGAAATCCCAGAAAACTAACAACACAATGTAATCTAGGTTCAAGTTTGGGTTTCCGATACTGATGTTTGAGTGCTCTCTTCCTGACAAGCCACTTAAAGAGTCACTGTTACTTTGAGGTTTTATCTATGAGATTCGTGTCTTTTGGGCTCATTAAGAACATTTGCAAAGATTACAATGTCAATAGCACCTAATTACTGGGCTGTGAGAAAGGTCTTCATGAGTACATAAAATCTTCAGCAGAGCCGGCCACACAATGGGCGACTCACATCCCGGATTTTATCACGGATAAGTAGCAAACAAATTAATAATCCTACTTGTGCTCTCTTGGGATAATTGCTAGTGCATAAAAAAAAAAAAACTGCTTTGAAATTTTGCAAATAGTATTGTACCTTATTTTAAATAATCCTTATGGTAACTGGAATTTATTTATCTCTTAAGGCTTTCTATGTTGTATGAATGACTCTTGCTCTTTCTAGAATTAAGACTTACAAAGTAATAAAAAATCATTTGCAACCTGCTTAGGAAAGACCTACCCTATTCAACACTGTATTAAAATGAATTTTCTATTTTAATTCACTTTTCCTAAAATACCATATGTTTTGATACAAATGGTGGATTTTTTTTTTTAAATAGTGAAAATAATAGTAAAGTTTATTAGGAAAGGAATTTAGTATGACAGATAAAAGTGGGGGGAGGGGAAAAAAGGGAGAAACATTTCCTGCTCCCCATCCAGGAAATGGGAATAAAGACTCCTGAATGTTGGATTTTAATTTTGCATCCAGGCTTGGTAGAAAATTAGTTATTAAAAAAGCAAAGGAGAAACTAATTCACTTGCCTACTGCTCAAACATCTTCACGTTCACATGGTGGATTGCAATCCTGAGCTGCCACACTTTAGTTTGGAATTCTATTATGAGTAGCTCAGGAGGAAAAGTAGACACAGAGGGACCAGCTAGGCACCTTTCACTGAGCCTTCTGGGCAGAGTTTCCATCCCATCTCACATAGCCTGGGGGGATGAGATGGAGTCACCCAGTGAGAAAGCAGTTGACCAAGATTGGAGCCAAGTTCTGGCAGTCTCCAAAACCCACATCTGCATCTTGTGTGTCTCCATTGCGTGGAGATGAAATGGGACAATATGGGGTTGTATGCATGAGTCTGGAGTCAAGTCAATATGTCAAGTCAGTGGTGACGGCCCAGGCCCTTGGGCCACTCTGTTGGGTTTCAGTCCCCTGCTTCCTTGTTTGTGGTATAACCTTAGTAGTTTACTAACCCTCACCATAGCCATTTGTCTCATCTGTAAAGCGATGAGACAAATGGGGGAACAAGAGGACTAGGCCTTAGAATTGGGGTGAGAATCAGAGTTAAAGGCTATTATATTAAAAGTATTTCATGGAGTGAAAGACAACCTAAGAACTTTAATCTTTGATGTAACACTAGGGCCCTGCCACAGACAGAACGTTCAACAGGAATTTTTCTTAATGGTTTTTAGACAAAGTCTTACTATGTAGTCCACACTAGCCTTGAACTCATGATCCTTCTGCCTCAGTCTCCCAAGTGCTGGGACTTCAGGTATGTACCACCATGCCCAGCTTGGACATTTTAAATATTAATAATATTCTATTTGCATATTTCTCAAAATGTAACAAAAAGTAACAGTGACATTAAAGTGTTCAATGTGTGGTCCTTCTCACGTAATATTGTAAATACCTCCCTCAAAGATTTGTTTATAAGTTAGATATGTATTAACCATGTGCCTAATACTTCTTTAATATTTATTCATGAATTAACGCTTGAAGATGTTGATGACGTATTAAACTATTTTCTAGTGGCCAGAAAAGGGCACTCAACCTTTCAAAGTACCCTGGGCTCAAAATGACTTGTTTGGCCCTTTGAACATCTGTCCTGCACACCCTCCTCACGGCATTGCCATTAAAGACTGCTTTCTAGTGAGAAGATTCATTTACTCCCCAAATTAACACATTAGTAATTCAGTGTCCCACCTGACATTTGTTTATTTGTTTTTATTCAGTACCATTTATATCTAGTAAATTTTGGATTACCTGGAGCCAACTAACCAGAAACTTCTGTTAACTGATTATTTCTCAACATTATCTTCAGAGGAAGAACATACCATGTGACAGTTGTGTCAGAGATTTATTTCTGTTTTTATTTCCTTTTCATTTTGATCAGAGCTCTAATGGAAATAAACATCAGGGTTCTGTCCAGAGACACCTGGTGTGTCGTTTCTCACCTATGACTCCTCTAACACAGGATAATATTCAGAATACTGAGTTGAGGCATGCTGCAAAGTTGTGCTGGGGCATAAACACAGTTGTATTTGGTTTTCTTAGTATGGCAAAAAAGTGCACTAGTGAATCTTTGGAGGGTTTTGGGGAGACAGATGGAGATAAATGCATTTTCAGATGAACCTTTGAAAAGTGGTTTGCTTGACAGGGGTAAGTCAATTTTCTTTCTTTCTTTCTTTCTCTCTCTCTCTCTCTTTTTCTCCCTCCCTCCCTCCCTTCTTTCTTTTTCTTTTTTCTCTCTCTTTCTCTTTTCTTTCTTTCCTTTCCTACCTTCTTTCTTTCCTTTCCTACCTTCTTTCTTTCTTCTTCCTTCCTTCTTTCTCTCTCTCTCTCTCTTTCTCTCTCTCTCTGTCTCCCTTCCTCCTTCTCTTCTTTGTTTCTTTCTCTCTCTTTCTTTCTTCTTTCTGGTGCTGGGGATAAAACTCAGGGTGCCATGCATGTTAGTCAAAAGGTCTACTACCCCAACCCTGGGAAGTCAATTTTGGATGCAAAATCCCCAACTGAATTTTGGGGGAAATAATCAAAATTCCAAGTCAACCTCAGATTCCAAATCTACCAATCCACATTTTTGTGATAAATCACGAGTACATTAAGATGTTTTAAAAATAACTTCCTGGATGAGTTGGAATTTCCAGCAAGTCATCAGACCTAGTTTGTTATTCAAACGCTAATCCCTTTAACAGTTTGGCTTGCTAAATTAGTAGATGTGTGCTATGGAGTTCAGTTTCAGCACTGCTGTAATGGAGTTATCAGTCCAGGGACACAGCCAGCACTACAATGGCTGAGATTCCTTTGTCCCTAGGTAGACAGGCACCTGTGGAACCGATGTCACTCATACACACAGCCCCGTGGGGAAAGCTGTCCACTGGACAGAAGAGGAAAGACTTCTCTGAAGTTCTCAAAAACTAGAGAATTCTACAATTAGTGCTCCAGGATTTCAACTCTTATCACACACTTCTTCCTTGCATAATGATGCGTTATTAACAAAGTCTACCTTTAAACATTTCCAGACATGAAAAAGTGAATTATGGATTCTCTTCAGTTATGATAAATAATAATTTGAACTAGCGATGTCATATTTTGTTACTCAGTTTTAAATGATGAATTTCCTTCTTTCCTTTTCTTTTTGTAGTGCTAGGGATTGAACTCAGGACCTCAAGCCTGCTAGGCGAGTGCTTTACCATTAAGGTACATCCACAGTCCAAGAATTTCTTTAAACTCATGTCACTGTCGCTGTCCTGCCTGTAAACAGTTTTGGTCAATACTGGGATTTGAACTCAGGGTCTCATGCTTGCTATTCAGTGCTCAACTCCCTTAGCCCTGTTTTTGTGGAGTTTTTTTGAGATAGGGTCTCCTGAACTATTTGCTTGGGCTGGCTTCAGACCATGATACTCCTAATCGCTGCCTCCCGAGTATCTAGGATTACAGGTATGAGCCACCGGTGCTTGGTTCCTGTAAACATTCTTAGCCAAACTACTCTTAATATAGGTGTCTGAGGAAAAATGCAAAAAGCAGGCTTTCTACTTTCCAAGTTCAGAGAAAAGTCTCACAGACACTTATAGACTAAGGGACTTCCAATTAAAAAAAGTCTAATCTGAAGTGCCTAAGACTGATGGGAGAAAAAATTGCTACAATAATTGAATTTTTCTTCTAATTATTAAATTGGAAAAATAGGAATTTAACAACAGCTTCAGGTTTGTTGACACTTTAATAAAAAAGACATGCAATTCAACTGAAAAAGCTTCTGATTTCAAAGTATGACTAAATTCCCCCTTTATTTTCTGGCAGCTCTGGGGTTTGAACTCAGGGCTTTGAGTATGGAGGTGAGGTCTTGAAAACTGTTTGCTTGGGCTTACCTTCAACTTCAATCCTCCCTGTCTCAGCCCCCACCTCCAAGTAACCAGGATTACTGGGTGAGCTACTGGTGCCGAGCCACTTTTTTTCCCCTGAGACAGGGTCTCACTATATAACCCAGGTTGGCCTCGAACTCACAATCCTCTAGCCTCTACCTCCTGAGTTCTAGGATCACCAGCATGTGCCACCACACCTGGCCTTAATTTTCAATTAGCAGCAGTCAGTAGTCAGAAATACATATTAACATTCTTTTCATTAGTTTCAGAAACTGGCTGGAGAATACTAAATTCCTTAGGGTAAAAAAGAAAAGGGAAGTTAATTTAGCGAAAGTACCCATTCTGTGTGTGAGTCCCTTTTCCAACGGTAAAGATTCTTACCTTTTGGTGTTAGGGTAACCTGGTCGCTGACTATCTCCAATAACTTGTTGTCCATCTGTATGTTAACCAGAAAGTTTCGTTACTGAAGTTCAAAAATACCAAAGGATTAAATGTTTAATAGAGGAAAATGATATACCTACCCCAGAGGAAGATATAGAGTCTGTGCTGGTCTTTTTAGACTGTATGAATAAGGGTTTTGATTTCTGAAACAAATGGAGTAGAAATCGTAGTCACAGCAAGTGGGTGGCGATGGTCTTTAGTCTGCAGTAACTAACTTATTTGCCCAAATATGGATGGGGACACCCTTTCCTTTACACCAAAAGGAGAAAAATAGTCCCAGCAGGTGGGAGGCTGAGGCAGGAGGACCACCTGTGCCAAGGACTTTGCAACTAGCCTGAGAAACAGCAAGAGCCCCATCTCAACAAAACTGAAACAAACCCTAAAAACTCCACAGTCAATAACAATGAAACCCCACAAACAAAAACAAAACAATAGCAACAAAAACAGTGACAAAGATCCCCTTCTTTATTCAGGCTACTTTGAGAGAAAAGTCAAGAACAATGTTTTTCTCGGTGTCCCTTCTGACTCTACTTCTCTACTTCCTTTTGAATGTCCCTGCAACTTGGTCCTCTGTATCTATAAGTACTGCACCTGCAAAACACTACAAAAAAAATTGCTTCGGTATTGAACAGATTCTGGCTTTCCCCTCATCGTTATTCCCTAAATCGAACAGTACAACCATTTACCCAGCATTTGCGTTGTATTAGGTGTACCAGTCATCTAGAGGCGATTGGAAGTCACGGGAGGCTGCGCAAAGGTCACTCACTTCCAAGAACTGTGCCATTTTAAAATAAGCATCTTAGGCATCCATGATCTTGGTGTCCATGGAGGTCCTACAACCAATGCTCCTCGGACATGGAGGGGTTTGTAACTGTAACTCAGACAACTGTGCTTGCAATTGATCAGAACCACACGGTCACCTCCAGCACCGCTCAGCTGCTGCAAGCGACAGCGCTGGTGTCCTGAAGCCCCAAGACCTGGATTGTAAAAAACCATTCAGAGCAGAGTAAATTGTGGCATTAAAAAGGCCCAAGGGAAAAGAATCAAAGGTACACTAAGCACGCTTAGTGAAAATGCCAACGATCTGAGGTCATGTGTGTAGACTGAGAGTTCTGCGAATTTTCTATTCCAAGATTTCTCTCTTGTTGGTGTGTATGCATTTGTACATATGTGCAATGTATGCACATGTGATTTGCATTCATTTTTTTATCCCCATAGCCTGTTCCTACTCTCCTTTTTTCCCACCCCCAAGAAACTATGTAGATATTTGACACGTATGTTTGATTTGAATGAGACCTTGCAAAATGCGAAATTCTGTGCATGTATTTTAATTTACGTTAATAGTATTGTGTGACATCCTATTTTGTTGATTCTAAGGCATAACCTTCTGATATCTAACTTCCCTAAGACTGGGCCACATCTGACACTGATGGATTATCACAGTGTAATGACATAATGACAGTGCCTTTCTCTCTCTCTCTCTCTCTCTCTCTCTCTGGCAGTACTGAGGTTTGAACTCAGGGCCTTTGCTTGCCAGGTAGCCACTTTACCAATTGAGCAATGCCCCCAGCTCCCTACCCATTTCTCTTGTAGTGACTTAAAAATTAAGGTAGTGATAATCACATATTAGATTCAAAGTGAAAAACAGTATGCTTGTGTGTTCCCTTCTTCTGTCACCAAGCCCAATGTTTTTAAGATTCATCCATCTTACTATGCATACCAAAATTTTATTGTTTTCTTTTTTTTCCTTGGTGGTACTGAGATTTTTAAGTCAGGGTCTTATGCTTTCTGGGCAAATGCTATACTATTTGAACTGCATGCTAGTCCTTTCGAATTTGTTTTATTTTTCAGATAGTCTCTTGCTTTTGCTTGGCTGGCCTCAGACTGAGATCCTTCTACCTCTACCTCCCAAACAGCTGGGAATACACATGTGTGCCACCATATCTGGCCCTTAAAGTTTATTGCTGCAAAGTGTTGCATAGTACCCCAGGCAGGCATCTGCCCATCTTGCCGTGTCCTTTCCCAAGGTCATCTAAGCCACCATCATCTCTCACCTGCATCATTTTAATAGCTTCCTAGCTTGTTTTTTTGCCCTGTTTTCCTCATCTCTGCCCCATAAAGGCCAGCATTGGTCCTGTAAAGTGATATTGGTTTGCTCTTCTGCTCACAACTCCAAAGATTCTCAATTTTACTTGGAGTAAACAAAACAAAATAAAACAAAACCCTATTGTCCATCTGACCATATTTATAATTATACTCTCTCCTCTGGGTGCCTTGTACACCTCTGTCTTAGAGCATTCCAACAGTCCTCTCCCTGTCTGGAAAATCCTGGACTGAGCTATCCTCATGACTCCTTCCCTTACTTCCTTCCTGAAAACGGCAAAGGAAGCCAGTGGCAAGTGTAGGACTGCCTGGAATTTAAGTTCTGTAAGCACTGAGTGCAGAAAAAGGTAGACCTTCTTTAGGAGAAGGCTGAAAAAGGTAAAGCCCTGCTAAAACTGGGGTCTGGAATAGGTGTAGTGTCTTCCCATGGTGAGGGTGAAAGGCAGGTTTGAGCAGTACGTAAGAGAATATAGGTAGCAACCCTGAATTTCCACATCTTCTCCTGTCAAGGATGAGAAAAGCATAAATAAAATGGGAAGTATGGAAAAAAAAACTGTAGAACCAGTGAGATTAAATGGGAAAAGGAAGATCAAACCCATATTATATGAAGCATATGTAGTAACTGGGGCATAGCCCATGTGGTGGAATGCGTGCCTAGCCTGTGTGAAATCCTGGGTTCAAACCTTCATGCTTCCCCCACTCCCACCAAAAAAGGAAAGCATATGTGGAATGTGAGAGTCAATCACCATTAAAGAAAATACAATCTTCCACAGAAAAAGAAAAGCTAAATTGGTCTTCATTAACATTAAGAACTTCTAGCTGGGTATCGCAGTACGCTCCTGCAAATCCAGCACTTGGTAAGTTGAGGCAGGAGGATTGCAAGTTCAAGGCCAGTCTGGGATACCTAAGGAGACTCCATCTCAAAAAACAAATAAATAATAAAAACTTTTGACTTTCAAGGGATACTGTTCAAAAAAATGGAAGGACAATCTATGCAATGAGAAAAAAATGTTTGCAACACATATATCTGACCAAGAACTTGTATCCAGAATACATAGTAAAATACTACAGCTCAATAACAGTTAAAAATGGGCAACAGTGCAGCATTGTTGTTTAATAAGTAGTTTCAGTTTTGCAAGATGAAAAGAGTTCTGGAGTTCAGTTGCACAGCATGAATGCACTTGACATGAATGGACTATACATTAAAAATGGTTAAAATGGTAAATTTTGTTGTGTGCATTTCACCACCCTCAAAAAAGTTTTGAATACATCCTTTACCAAAGAAGATCTAAGAATAACCCATAAGCTACATGAGAATTATTAATTAATTATCAGGAAAATGGAAATTCAAACTCCAATGAGATATGATTTTAGAATGGCTACAACTTAAAAACTGACACTATCAAGTGAGTAACTGGAATATAGAGCCACAGGAACTCTCAGTCCTTACTGATGGGAGAATAAAATGACAGTCACTTTGGAACAATGGCAGCTTCTTACAAAGTTCAACATACACACTTCCTATGTCCTGTTTATTCCACTCTTACCTGAGAAATGCGAAAATATACTCCATAAATGACTACTTTCTATAGCAGCTTTTTCCATAGTAGCCCCTAAATGAAACATCCCAGGTGTCTAATAAGGGTATAGTGAATAAACAAATGCATTTATTTATACAATAGAACTCTCCTCAGTAAAACAAAGGAGCCACTGAGACACACACACACAATGACACAGATGGATCTTAAGACACCGTGCCACATAAAATGAAGAAGTAAGAGAGTGTATACTGTAGAATCCCAGCTACAGGACCTGAAGCACAGGCACTCCCCTGCAGTGATAAAAATCACAACAATGGTTATTTGGTGTGCGACTGGAGTGAACTATTACTGGAAAGAGACATGAGGGAAATTTTAAGTGATGGCAACATAGGCCAAAACTCCTCAAATCATACACTTCATTTGCACCCGTCATACCACAAGTAAAATATACCCCAGTAGGAAGAAAGCAGTAAATGCTTTGTTTCATGATGTGTAATTTAAAGGTTGATCTTTCCTTATTAATGTCTACCTTTCTACCCCTTAGGTCAGGCACCATTCTAAGCTCTGAGTCACACGGTGAGTAAGGTGGACCAGTCTGTGATCTCATGGGATCCATACATATTTGTATGCAATAAATATTTGTGGGATGGCCAGGTGTGGGGGCTCATGTCTGTAATCTCAGCTACTGGAGATAGAGATTGGAAGGATCAAGGTTCAAGGCCAGACTGGGTTAAGCAAAAAGTCAGCGAGACCCTATCTCAACAAATAAACCTGGTGTGGTGGCACGCACAGGTCATCCCATCTTCCCAGGAGGCATAAACAGGAGGCTCATGGTCTCGCCAAAACACAAGACCCTACCTGAAAATTAACCGAAGCACGAAGGGCTGGAGGCATGGCTCAAGTGGTAGAGCTGCCACCTACAAGCGCAAGGGCCTGAGCTGGATTGAAAGAGTGACTAGAGTGCTAGGAATGGAAGGACAATGTGACTGCATCACACACTTGTTGTCTTTTCCTTCCCTGTCTGTTTTTCTTAAGTATATGCTATCCTCTCTGTTGAGCATGTCGAATGCCGACAAACCGTGTGGATGTGTAGATAAGGAGTCATGAGCCCGGATGGGCAAGCAGTCGCACATAGATACATTCTGGGCTGGATAGAGCACCATCCCTCCCCATGGCCATTTGAGGACAAGGCCAAGAGTTTTCTCAAGATAAAAAGGTTAGATCTAGGGCTGGCAAAGTAGAAGCAGTAAGAGTGTCTGCTGCCAAAAAAAAAAAAAGAAAATTAGAAAAAGAGAAAGACTAGATGTACTAATGTGCTTGAGCTAGCATAACTGAGATTTAGAAGTCTGTTTCATAAAACCCGAACAATTCAAATCTGAACCAGAAAACTGCCAATAACTGTCATTAAAAATTCTGATTTTGAGTGACATGGCCTTCTCATGGGTCCTCCATTTATTTGTTTAGCTGATTAAATATCTAAAATGACACTTAATCCAATTGAAATTGCAACCTTCAGGAAAGAAGAAGAAAAACCAAGAGCTGAAGAAAGACATTGTGTGTTGTTACCTATGTAGACCAGCTCTAGAAATTTCAGGGGAGTCATTTATAAGAATTCTCAACAAGATAAAGATTACTATAGATATTTAGTTAAAATCAGGAATGAATTTAATGTTATCTTGAATTAAGTTCTTGAACTCCTATAATAATTTAAACTTAGAAAGTGATCTTAAAGTTGAAAATATTACAAAGTTGGCAAATGTTGAAAAATTTTTCTTTTTTTTTTTTGTGGTACTAGGGTTTGAACTCAGGACCTACACCTTGAGTCACTCCACCAGCCTTTTTTTATAATTTTATTTTTGAGATAGGGTCTCTTGAACTATTTCCTGGGGTGGCCTTGAACTGTGATCCTCCTGATTTCTGCCTCCTGGGTACAGGCGTGAGCCACCAGTGCCCGGTGAAAAATTTCTTAAAAGAAAATGATTTTCTTCTTGAGGCAAACCCACGCATTTTATGTTTCTTGTGCCCCCCACAAGAAACTTTCTGACTTGTCCTCAGAAAGTTTCACATCACAGAAGAGGCTCAGAACAGTTGGCATCATGCTGGCTTAGTTATTCGTTGAAATTTTCTGGATGTATTTCTACACTGGCCAGCCTTCACTTTTGTAAGTCCAACTGTCAGGTGAATAACAGTCTACTTCAGCACTGGGCTTTATCTACAGATGACATCAGCTATGGGCTATGGTTAATTATGTCAACCCCTCCTCCTAAAAAGGTGTCTTTGCCCTAGGTTGGCATAATTCATGGTGGTGCTTAGTGGGAGGTCCTCAGGTCATATGGGATGTGTTCTCAGAAGGGAGTTCCATGTGCCATTCTTTGGTTCTCAAGAGAGGGCTATTGAAAAGGAGCAAGTCTGGCTTGTCCTCTTTTCTCTGCTTCCTGACTTGTGATGTGATCACTTGCTCCAATACACATTCCTGCCATTTCTAAGTGCTGAGATGACACAGGCAAAGGATAGTTCTTGTACAAGCCTGAACAATGCACTTTAGACTTTGAAAGTCCACAACTATGAACTAAATAAACCCCTTTTCTTCATCTCTGTTTTTATTATTTATTTATTTATTTTGCAGTGCTGAGGTTTGCACTCAAGGCTTCATGCTTGCTAGACAGGTGCTCCACATTTAAGCCTGTCTCAAGCCTTCAGCAAACCCCTGTTCTTCAAAAGTAGCTGATCCCAGCTATTTTGTTACAGTGAAGAAAAGCTGATGAATAGGACCTCTAATAGGAAAATAAATGATTGCTACTTCTCCCCTTTTTCCTATATATATATATATATATATATATATTTTTTTTTTTTTTGGCAGTACTGGGGTTTGAACTCAGGGCCTCATGCTTGCTAGGCAGGTGCTCTACCACTGGAGCCACACCTCCGACCCTACCTCCTTTTTCCTTTAAGAAGCAACTGGATACTGGAGCCTTCAGCTTTGATATTTCCCAACATTCCATCCATGACCACAAATGGATAGACTGACAGATACTCCCAAAATTAGTAGCCCCTCCCCCTCTCAACCATTGTACTGCACTGTATGATTTCATTGTACTATTTCTTTGCACACCGATCTCTCACACTGGACCAACTTCTTTCAGTCCAGGCACTGTGCCTTTTGCCCTCAGCATCTAATAGAGTGACTATCATATACTGTCTCCAGAACCCATAATGACAGAGTCTCAGTACTGATACATATGGACAGAAACACATAGGCTTGTTTGTTTAAAGGCATAAAGAGCACCTCAACATTTATGTACTTACAACATAGTTAAAGGATGTATCAGCAAGCAGCGCAAACTGGTGAAACAGCGTGTGTCTTGTAAACATCTCATCCTTAAGGACGTGAAAGCTGCAATAGAAGGAACCGTGAGATAAATGTATGCAAATCATAGAATAAAGAAAATAAGTATTAAGTTAATGTAGTTAGGACATGCATTAAAAATTTTAAATACCACCAAATAGAAATTTAAGCCAGGCATCTGGTACACACCTGCAATCCCAGCACTCAGGAGGAGGAGGCAGAAGGATTGTGAATTTGAGACCAGCCTAGGATACACAGGGAGACTCTATCTCAACAAACAAAAAAAAACCAAAACAAAACAAAATTCAGGTAAATGAATTAATTCTTCCCTTTAAAAAATTATATTATTTTATATTTCCCAACATCCTTCAGAAATGTCTGTTTCTAGATTTAAGGCAATAAATACGCAAGATGAGCCTGGAACAGTTTATTCAACTAGAAATCAAGGGAGCATCAAAGATTGCATCACAACAAGACAGTAATCAACTTGAGAGGGCTCTCATTGACTGCTTATTGGAGAAAAAAAAGCATCAAAAATAACAAGGACGACAATTGATCGAAACTACAAATATATTTACAATTTAGGAAATTTCCAGCTCATCCCCAAACACAAATGATGCTAAAATTAGAAGATCCACTGTGAGGAATATGTCCTCTGAAGAGAAAACCAGAAGTATGGCTGGATAACATTTTCTAGTGCCTAGAAGGAAGCAAAAAAGTCACAGCAAGACTTGGGGAGTGATAGAGTGCTTGCCTAGCATGGCTGGGTTTGATCCCTACCACTGTAAAAAAAAACATCACAGCATTCAGATACACTGAAGCCTCTTTGAAGAGATGTGTTGTGCGACTCATGAATCTTCTCAGCTACCTCAGTAAGAGTCCAAGATACAGATGAGATTATATAGGAAAGACCTGAGGACAAGCTTCTGGACTAATGAAGTGACTCTCCATCACATGCATGAAAGACACACAAGAATTTTGAGAATGTTATACCAGCAAAAACACTGCCAATTTGCCCTTAAAAGGACAGAGAGAGAGAGAGAGAGAGAAATGTAAGAAGTCTATTGATCTTCCACAATGATATAAGCAGGAAACAGATAAATAAAACTACTCAGTTAGGAACATAAAACATGCTATCTTTTATGAAAAAGGAAGGATAACTCAGAGAGCAGTGCCTTGGGTCCAGAGGATCAAGTCTTGAGACACAGAAAATTAATTATTCCTAAACTTGGAAACCAAATGGAGCTTGTCATGCTGAATTTCAAAACCATTAGAACTAATGACTCAGTTTTTCCTTCTTGAATAAGAATTATATTCTTATTCCTGAATTCTTGAATAAGAATTATAGCTTCACAAGTCCACAGATAGAGAGGGACTTTGCCTCAGATGGGCTATAATCAGAGCCTCGCCAATAGCTAATTTAGATAGTGGGAATTAGAACTTTTAGCTTATGGCACTTAGGTAAGCTTTTGGACTTGAGTTGATGTTATAATGGGTTGAGATTCTCAAGTACATTGGGGTGGAGTAAAACCATTTTGCATGTGGAAGAAGTATAGACATTAGGAAGATAGACATTAGGTGGTAGACTGAATATTGCCCTCCACCAAAATAACCACTTCCTAATTCCTGGAACCTGTAAGCATGTTACCCAATGTAGTAAAAGGAACTTTACGGTTAAGAATAAGGTAAGGATTTTGAAATGGAGTGACTATTCTGGATTATTTTGTGGGCCCAATGTGATTACCAGGGTACTTATAGAAGGAAACAAGGCAATCAGAGTAGATAAAGGAGAGGCAGTATGAGTGAGTGCAAAAGCCTCTAAAAGTTGAAAGAGGCAAAGAACTGATTATCTCCGGGGCTGCAGAAGGAACCAGCTTGGATGTGGATTTGTCCCTGTAAGAATCCTTTTGGATTTTTGACCTCCTGACTGTGTCATTTTAAACCACTCAACTTGTGGTAACTTGTTATATCAACAATAAGAAAGTAATACTCAGGTTGAAGAATAGCTTTATATCAATAATTTGGAAAAAATACATGATTGACCAATGTCATGAAAAAAAAAAGACAGCCAAAATAAAAATGAAGAAGAAGAAAAACCTTTACTAGTTTTAAGTCCTTTAAACAAAAAGAAGCAGGGGCTGAGATTGTAGCTCAGGAGTGGAGCACTTGTCTGGTACTCACAAGACCCTGGGTTCCTTCCCCAGCAGTGCAAACAAGAACTAGTAAGCAAACAAAAATAGTCAACAGCTTAAATTTTGTTCATAAAGATAATATGCAGTCCAGTTAATTTAAAACTGAGTTTTACTAGATGTGCTAAGAACAAATAATTATTACTTTATCCCCCAAATCTCAGAACTGATATTAAGAAGCCAGTGTCCCCTTGGTACCAGCAGTAGTCAAGGACAAGAGAAGCTAAAAAACAGTTAAATGTCATTCTCGTTCATAATCATAGAAAATTCTGGGCTCCATCCCAGCACCATCAAAAAAAGGAAAGAACAGAAGGAAAGAAGGAAGGAAGGAAGGAAGGAAGGAGGAAAGGATGGAAGGAGGGAGAGAGGGAGGGAAGGAGGTAAAAAAGGAAGGAAGGAAGGAAGGGAAAGAAAGAAACAGAGAGAGAAAGAAAGAAAGGGACAGAGGGAGGGAGGGAGGGAGGAAAGAAGGAGCATTCTTGAAATAGCACCAATGGATTTGCAATTCCTAGAAGAAGTAGGGTCTTGGATCATCATCACCATCAATGGAAACACTGAGCTTCATGAGTCAGCTTCACGCTCTCTTCAACTACCAAGAGTCTAGATCTACTCTGGTTTGGCTCATGCATTTCATAAGAAACTTGAATTTCACAGAAGAAGAAAATGAATGCTTCATGAGTACACTCAGGTGAACATGAGATATACTGACTGTTTTTGAATGAGGAAAAAACATTGATCAAATGCTGAGGGTTTTTTTTTTTTTATATACCACTACCTTCCACAGGCTGAGAACAACACCACAAGAGTTTACATTTGTCTTGTGTGAAACCACATAGACCCAGGAGGGCAGGTGTACCAGAGAGGACAGGTGTACCAGAAAAACTGCTCGTACTCTTGGGACAAAGAAGCAAGCTAGGAATCAGAGAAGGAAGGAAAATGGATAGAGAAGATGAAAAAAGAAGCAGAGCAGAGTTTCTGTTTTCCTAAATGCCCTCTTCCCAAATCTAAGAATGACGGGTTGTACAACAGGTGACAAGGTGAGGAGGGAGTGAGTAGAGCAAGTCTGTTCCTGACACAGGTTTGCTAAATTTCTGGAATGGTGGTCCGGTGCTCCTGAGTAGGGTAAGATCACAAGTGCTTACGGTATACAGTGCAAATGGAGGGTATTATGGGCCCATGACATCCTGTGCAAGCTGCAAGCTTGGCCTACACTGACCCAGCACTGAATCAATCATGCCTTGTAGGCTGCTTGACTATTGAGACTCTTGCAAGAAAACTTCCAACATGTGATAACCAAGAAAATGACAGAAAACAGGAACACAGATTTGTAATGTTAACATGTTAGAATGGGGGGAAGTAGGGATCTACCCTACTTGGTATTGCTGTTAGGCTTCTCAGAATTTTACAGTTTTGTTTTCACCACCTTAAAAAAAAAGACAAAGAGGAACAATTAAATGACTATGTGGGTGAAAAACATTGGGATAGAAAGGAGCTGGCGCTGTTTTGTCTGGAAAAGAAAAGTGGGGAGGTCTTAGTCTAAGAAGCAATTTTCCAAAGATGATGTAGACCTGTTGTAGAGCGCCATGTACAAATGGCTCTAATGAGGAAGATGTCCAGGTAGGTCTGACTAAACCAGGTATCAGGAGAGTCTGTCTTGTTGAGCTTTGAAAGTTCAAATACTAAGAAAAGAAATGAAGTAGAGTCTTGAATTCACTTTTTAAATGACTTTCATTTCTATTTTAGGTCAAGTATTTTGCATTTCTTGTTAAATGTATATGGAGGCACTTAACATTAATTAATATGTAAAGAAAAATAAAAGGTTCCTAACTTCAAAAGATGAGTAGTTTAGGACTAGGGGCATGGTAGAGCACTGACCTAGCAAGCACACTAGGCACCGAGTTCAAATCCTAGCACCTCCAATATAAATAAGTAAAAAGATGAGTAGCTGCATTTTTAGAATTTGTATGCATTGCCATACTATACCTGTTCCTGAGGATGAGGAATTTCCTCTCCCAGTTTCTGTTTATCCGGTCTGCTTCCTTTCTAAATCTGTAATAAATGTAGATGGTTAGCTAGCATATTAGGTACAAACAGGCAATAACAAATCGCTGCCCCAGTACCTTTCTAACTTCTTTTTCTCAGTTTCTAGGGTAGCCTTTAATCCTTCTACTTGTAACTCCAGATCTCTCTTGATTTTATCTTCTTCCTTTCAATAGAAAACAAATGAAAGGGTTAATTCTGTGAACAATATACCCTGCTTTTCCCTAAATCAGAAAAAGCTGTTTTTTATTAAACAACATGCACATTTTGTACTATCAAAAGTAATCTGACAAGCAATGAGATTTACTTGCAAATTCCTATAAATTGGAAGAATTTAAGGTCCTATGCCTCCCTTTCCTGTAAATGATGAACTTAAAACAATTGTTTTTAATCTCCATCACCTCAACCTCCACCAAGCAGCCCTTTTTCTAAGTCATTTCCCCCTCGTTTTTTGAGGTCTCTTTCTCTCTCTTCCTTCTTCATAGGTGGTAGTTACCCACAGTTACCCTAGCTCCTATTTCTATCAGAACAGTTCTCAGGAAAGGGTCTGACTAGTTCAATTGCACCAAAGCTTTATGCCTTTTTTTCAGTGTTGCTCAGATTTGGCAAGAGGACAAAGATTTTAGCAAAAGGAAGGACTCTCTAACAGTGGAATTGTAAGCATGTCAAAAATGAGAGCTTTGCGGGAGCTTGGGGGGGTGTACTATAAAATCACACCAAAGAGGCAATCGGGCCTTCTGTTTCTTCATAAGACTTACTCTCAGTGTGGCTTCCAAAGATACTGTTACTTCCTATGAACAGCCAGAATCACAATAAATAGTAAGTAAGTCCATAATAATGGTCTATTAGTCATTTTTGTACCTTAGGCAATGTTTGCAACTTCTTTCCTTCAGACACCAAAACAGGTGCTTTATCTTTAACCTGAAAAGAAAAATAAGCCAAGGTAAACATGACATTTCAATGAATGCATAAGGACATGTTCTCCTGCAGTGCAGAGGAAGGAAACAGATTTGAAATATGCTTACCGTAGCCCAGAGGTCTTCTCTGACTTATCTAGTTTGCAAAATTGGCTGTTCACAAACCACATTTGCAATGAAAGAACAGCTCATTACAAACAACTCTCCCATTCCTGCTTTTAAGAATGTATTTTGTTGCCATTAGAGAACAAATCTTACCCTATCAACTCTTCAAAAAAGATAAAGTAGGCAGTTATTATCCAATGAAGCTATGAGTGTAAAAACTTTATTTCATTTTTATTAGCATATATTCATTGAACAGGAGGGATTCATTGTGACAATTCTGAATAGCCTTACATTGTACATTGGTTAAATTGCCCCCGTAATCTCCTCCCCCGAAAAACTTATTTTTAAATGATATGTAATGAATTTTCACTATTGTACCCCCTTTGTGGAAGGGACACCAGGTTATGTGAAGGTGAGACAATATAGTGGATATAAAAGTCTTGGCATGGTTGGCGAGGTAGCTCAGTGGTAGAGCGCTTGGCTAGACTCCTGGGTTCCATCCCGAGCACATACCCACACCCACACCCACACCCACACACACACACACATACACACACATGCACACAGGCAGTCTTCTTGGTTAATAATCCCTATATTTCTATATGATAACATTAGATGCTTCTTATTTCCTCCACTACCTTCTCTGAGAAGGCTTGGTGACCCTCAAAGCTGGAAGGGCTGTTACCCTTCTTGGTGGGGTTGACTCTGTCAAGGAAAGCCTGCAGACAGGGGTGGGAGTAGGTGTTTGTCAGAGAGAGCTAAATAGTTCTGTAGCATACAGGTCAATGAACCTAGCGTTGCCTCAAGAGCCAGAGGTGAGGGTTGGGGTGAATGTCTGGGGCAAAAGCATGTGGCAGAAAGTGCTAGTGTTCACCAGACATCTGGTGAGCAAGGGCGAATGCTCAATCTGAACTGACATGTTGGTGAAATAGGCTCTCCGCATAATTCATCTTCCTAACCTCCTCAAACTCACCTATGCACGGTGAGTGGGAAGCTTCAACAGGAATTGCACAATCAGGTTGGATTCCTTTCTAATTAAAGAAAATGCAAACTGGATGGCCAGCAGAATGCAAAGAGATTCAGAAACTGAATTCACTCAGCAAAAGGAGGAGCCCGGCACAGCAGCAATCAGAAGGTAAATGTGGTGGGACAGGCTTTAGGTTACGATAAGCACCAAATACAGGTTTGAGCCAAATTTCCATCCATCTGAAGGAATATGAAGGACCTGACAAAGAGGGGCAGAGAGAATCCAGCTGACATCAGTTGCCACAAACACAGATAATCCTAGCTACAAGCTCACACCTGTAATCCTAGCTATTTGGAGGCAGAGATCAGGAGGATCATGGTTTGAGGCCAGTGGAGGTAAAAAGTTCTCAAGACCTCATCTCAACCTGTAGCAAGGCACCTGTCATCCCTGGTACATAGAGAAGCATAAATAGGAGAATTGTGGTCCAGGCCAGCCCAGGGTAAAAAGTAAGACACTATATCTAAAATAACCCAAGGAAAAACATCTGGAGGTATGGCTCAAGCAGTAGAGCACCTACCTAGCAAGCCCAAAGCTCTGAGTTCAAAACCCAGTGTGCAAAAACAAAGCAAATAACAAAATCTGTATTAACACCCATAAAAACTACAACTTACTGCATTCCAGTTGCATACCAGGTAGTTCACGTACATTATCATTTATGTCTGTATCCTGGCCTTTTCATGTCTTCATTCATATTACTTTAGCTGTTTAATGGCAGAAGATGCATACACATATTTAAAAAATAAACCTTGAATAGTATGCACAAACAAAACTCTCACCTGCCAGAAGCTAGGAGTTTTGTTATTTTCCCTTTCATTAAAAAAGTATCTTTGCGGCGGATACGGTCGTTAGCTTACTCCTTTCTGTCCGTGGACCCGGTGGAGGAAGCATCGCTTAAGCCTCTCTTCCCACTGCCGTTATGTCTAAGTCGGAGTCTCCTAAACAGCCCGAGCAACTGCGGAAGCTCTTCATCGGAGGGCTGAGCTTTGAAACGACCGATTAGAGTCTGAGGAGCTATTGTGAGCAATGGGGAACGCTCACTGACTGTGTGTTAATGAGAGATCCAAACACCAAGCACTTTGGATTTGTCACTTATGCCACTGTGGAGGAGGTGGATGCGGCTATGAATGCAAGGCTACATAAGGTGGATGGAAGAGCTGTGGAACCAAAGAGAGCTGTCTCGAGAGAAGATTCTCAAAGACCGGGTGCCCACTTAACTGTGAAAAAGATCTTTGTTGGTGGCATTAAAGAAGACACTGAAGAACATCACCTGAGAGATTATTTTGAACAGTATGGAAAAATCGAAGTGATAGAAATCATGACAGACGGAGGCAGTGGAAAGAAAAGGGGCTTTGCTTTTGTCACCTTTGATGACCATGACTCTGCAGATACGATCGTCATTCAGAAATACCTTACTGTGAATGGCCACAGCTGCGAAGTAAGGAAAGCCCTGTTGAAACAAGAGATGGCTAGTGCTTCATCTAGCCAAAGAGGTCGAAGTGGTTCTGGAAACTTTGGTGGTGGTCGTGGAGGTGGAGTTGGTGGCAATGACAATTTTGGTCGGGGAGGAAACTTCAATGGTCGAGGTGGCTTTGGTGGTAGCCGTGGTGGTGGTGGTGGATATGGTGGCAGTGGGGATGGCTGCAATGGATTTGGTAAGGATGGAAGCAATTTTGGAGGTGGTGGAAGCTACAATGACTTTGGCAATTACAACAATCAATCTTCAAATTTTGGACCCATGAAGGGTGGAAACTTTGGAGGCCGAAGCTCTGGCCCTTATGGTGGTGGAGGCCAATACTTTCCTAAACCACGAAACCAAGGTGGCTATGGTGGTTCCAGCAGCAGTAGTAGCTATGGCAGTGGCAGAAGGTTTTAATTTCCAGGAAACAAAGCTTAGCAGGAGAGGAGAGCCAGAGAAGTGACAGGGAAGCTACAGGTTACAACAGATTTGTGAACTCAGCCAAGCACAGTGGTGGCAGGGCCTACCTGCTACAAAGAAGACATGTTTTAGACAATACTCATGTGTATGGGCAAAAAACTTGAGGACTGTATTTGTGACTAATTGTATAACAGGTTATTTTAGTTTCTGTTCTGTGGAAAGTGTAAAGCATTCCAACAAAGTGTTTTAATGTAGACTTTTTTTTTTTTGCACCCACGCTGTTGATTGCTAAATGTAATAGTCTGATCATGACGCTGAATAAATGTGTCTTTTTTTTTTAAATGTGCTGTGTAAAGTTAGTCTACTCTGAAGCCATCTTGGTAAACTTCCTAACGGTGTGAAGTTAGAATTCCTTCAGGGTGATGCCAAGTTCCACTTGAAATTTACTTGCAACTGCTTGGGTGGAGAGAAGCATTGTCTTCAGAAACCTTGGTGTAGAGTGTGACCTTAGGAATTTCTTGAAAGGGTCACCCAAGAAAAGTCACTGAATTATTGGTTAAAAACAATTGTTGGCACATCCTATGCAATATCTAAATTGGATAATGGTACCAGATAAAATGATAGATGGGAATGAAGTTGTGTATCATCCATTATCATGTGTAATCAATAAACGATTTAATTCTCTTGAAAAAAAAAAAGTATCTTTGCTGGCAGGTATTGAACCTGGGGCTTTGTACAGGTTAAGCACATGCTATACCTCTGTGGCATGTTCCCAACCCCTCCCTCCAGTGTGACTCATCATTGTTATTATAAATAAATACTATCCTTTATTAATTTGGGCTCCTCAACTAGACAGATGAAGAATTTAGGTCATTCATGCTAGCTTCTCTTCTACTGACTCTCTCTCCTGCATCTGCTCATATATTTTTTTTCCTGGCAGTGCTGGAGCTGGAACCTAGGGCCTTTCAATTGCACATGCTAGACAATCACTGTATTACCAAGCCACATACCCAGCCCTTCAGTTTTTTATTTGCATATGTCTAGCTCTTCTTGTGGTTGCTTTTGTTATGACCTTTTTTTTGTTTGTGTGGTACTGGGGTTTGAACTCAGGGCCTCACACTTGCTAGGCAGTTGTTCTACCATTTGAGCTGTTCTCCCAGTCTACTTTTGTTATGACTTTACTATTTGTAAATTTCTATAACTTGATTTTTTTTTTAAAGTACTAGGGTTTGAAATCAGGGCCCACACTTTGAGCCACTCCAGCAGCCCTTTTTTAGGGTGAGTTTTTCCAGAACTATTTGCCTGGGGCTGGCTTCGAACAAAGCAATCCTCCTGATCTCTGCCTCCTGAGTAGCTAGAATTGCAGGTGTGAACCACTGGCACCCAACTTCTATAACTTGATTTATTAACTTCATATAGGGAAACTCAGTTTTACTTTTTAAAAAAAATACTTCTCACTCCTCTGACCTCTTGATTTTAGAAGGAATGTCCTGTGATATTGGTCATAGCATTGTTTTCTAATTGTGACAGTCTTCATGCTTTCTTTATCAATTTCCACATTGATTCTGAAACTTGAAATATTATAAATAACATTTATGCTATGTTTATGTTCCTACAGAACCAGGCAGTGTTCCTGGATCCATAGAGAAAGGGGATATCAACTTGTTCCTGCAACTCTGCCTAAAAACAGACCCTTCCAAATGGATCACAGGTCAACCAAGTAGCTCATTTGCCAGCCAGACGATATGTGTCAACCGAGTGATCATATCAGGGCTTAATTTTTCCAGCTCCCCTCACTTCTGAGTCATTCTTAGTTTCCTCTTTTGTGTCCTTATCACCCGTGTGTTCAATTCCTTTCATGTTTCCCTAGAGTATATCTTTGGGTTTCATGAATGGTGAACTTTTTACAAGTTCAATAATATCTCTATTTTGCATATACGCACAATTGACATTTTATCTGGGCATAATCCTTAGGTTTCAAACTATATCTTTTCCCTTTTTTGGTGGTATTGGGCTTTGAACTCAGGGCCTCATGCTTTGCTAGTCAGGTGCTTTACTGCTGAGTCACTCCACCAACCCTATATATATATATTTTTTGTTGTTGTTGTTCCATTATATTTAAACTATTCTTTCCTTCTTTCTCTCTCTCAATTCTTTTTTTTTTTTTTTTTTTTTTGCAGTACTGGGGCTTGAACTCAGGGCCTACACCTTTAGCCACTCCACCAGCCCATTTTTTGTGATGGGGTTTTTCAAGATAGGGTCTCATGAACTACTTGCCTGGGCCGGCTTTGAACCACAATCCTCCTGATCTCTGCCTCCTGAGTAGCTAGGATTACAGGTGTGAGCCATCAGTGCCTGGTAGATATTCTGTTTTTTATTTTCGATGCTGCAGATCAAACCCAGGGCCTGTGCATGCCAGGCAAGTGCTCTACCACTGAGCTACATCCCCAGTCCTTGTTTTTCAGAGACAGGATCTCATTACATAGTTTAGGCTGCCCTTGAACTGGGGATCCTCTGCCCCACCTTCTGAGTGCTGGGATTACAGGTGTGTGACACCCCCACCTGGCTTCTTTTGCAAATTCTGCTTAGCACTTGGTAATTCTTTCCACGTGAAAATTAATGTCCCTTTGGATTATGTTCAGTTTCTTCTATTTATTGCCTTGGTTCCATAGTATCTGTTTTGCTTTTAGAAAATCCTAGTTATAAGGTATTAGACCTCTTGGATCTATCCTCCATATGTTAACTTTTGTCATAATTTCTATATACCCACTTTGTACTATGTTCTAGGTTCCCTTCACTCTGTCTTCCAGATTATTAATTAGGTCTTATACTGTATCAATTTTATTATTCATCCTGCCCATGTCTTTTTTTTAAATTGTTACTTCCAAGAAATTATTCTTTTGCTAAGATTGTTCCTTTTTTATAGCTGTCTGTTCTTGCTTAGTAGATAAAATGTTCTTTTGAATGCCTCCCAGAATATTTTTAAGACAATCTTTTAAAATCTTGTCTGTTTCCTGAATTAAACTGTTTTCTGCAGGGTTAGTGCTTCCTTCTTTCTTTGTTCTTTCACGCACCACTTACTGAATTTCTACTACATGCCCACAATTGTTCTAAGTATCCGAGGTACAACTGGGAACAAAACAGGGCTAAAAAAGAGAAGAAGGATTTGAGAGAAAGAGTAAAAGAGGCAGAATTTAGGAGACTTTTCGAGTGAAAATAGAGCTGCCTGGAATTTCTAAAGTACTAAAACAAGAAAAAAAATAAGAACAGGGCTAACTTTGTATGCTAGTGGGTTTTGTTTGTTTGTTTGTTTTTAAAGTGGGAAAGAATTTGGTAAATTCAGATTCAAACATGGCTGGTTTGTATAATAGCCAACTGGGGTAAGGCCCAGGAGTTTGATCCTAGAGACATAGTTTGCAAGCCATTAATATATTAGTTGAAGCCAAAGAGTTGGATAAGGCCACTTATGAAACTTACACAGAGAAAAGAAGAAAGCCAGGGACAGAAGCCTGCTTCCAGGCATAGCAGACTTGCAAGATTTCTTGTTTAGTTGGTTTTTGGAGGTACTAGGGTTTGAACTCAGGGCTTCATGCTTGCTAGGCAGGTGCTCCACCAATTGAGCCATGCCTCCAGCCCCAGACCTGTAGTTTTGTTTTTCCCTTGGCTGATAGGAGAATGCTTAAGGCTGACTTAACCCTGAACCTGGACCCTAACCATTGCTCCTAGCTTAGTTCCCTAGCTCTCACTCATATCTGTCAGTACTCACAATTCTGGAGGTTCCTACTCACTTTACTACTTTACTAGTTGTTTTAACAACTTCAAACTTCCTACACTACACCTTCTCCCAACACAACCAGCTCAGTGACTCCATCTTGCCAAGAACCATGTGACTGGAAACCAACCAAAATGAAAGCCAAAGGCACAGCACCACCAGGTGACGAATGCAACAGAAAGTCTTGGTTATCATTAGCCTTCCTTGGCCTCAAAAAATGAGGTCATCAAAGTGACATGAGACAGGCACTTTCGGGATCCTTCAGCCTATTTGAGGTCAAGGGGCACAGTGTATGTGAACCATCCTCTGCCCAGGGCACAAGGGGGACAGAGTGAGTTCACTGCCATCTGGTCAGCAGCAGAACATGGAACTAGGAGCAACAAGATTTGGAGAGTATTTACAAAGATGCTAAAGGAAAACACTTTATCTGAGGTTAAAAAACTGGGCTGGAGGCCCAGTAGTAGACAGCCTGCCTAACAAGCATGAAGCCCTGAGTTCAAACCCTCGTACCACCAAAAAAATCCAAAGTCAAGTTTAAAAAACTATTTCCCAGAAAATTAGGAAAACAAATAGCTAAGAAATCTCCATGTAGAAAGACATTTATATCTTATTTCATTAGATCCAAAGTCACATGAGTGCTGAAAGAGTAAGAGAAAGAGTAAGTAATAGAGGGGATTGATCTGATTAAAGCATGATATATACATGTCTGAAATACCAAGGCAAAATCCCCTTGAACTAACAATATACACTTAAAAAATAGAAGGACAAGAAGGTGAAACAGGTCCTCTGGGGGGTGAGTATCAGTGGGGAAGGGGGGAACAGAAGGTGAAGGAGAGTAAACATGGGTGGATGCATTTTATATTCGTGTGTGAAAACAGAACAATGAAACCTGCTGAAACTGTTCTAAGAAGGTGGGAGAAAGAATAAGGGAGATAATGGAGGGAATTAAGAGATATTGTAAGCATATATGTTTTGTCACAATCCATCCCCCCATAAATATTATATGCTAATAAATAAAAGATTATTTTAAAAATTTTGTTTAAATTCATGTAAAGTAAATGAGTCCTAAATTTAAGGCTTCCTTTCCTGATTCTCATGTAATGATCAACTATGTAATAACCAGAGATAAGACTGTGCTAAAACATATCTTCTATAAAAGCAAATAATTATTCACTCTCCAAAAGATAATATGTTGCAATGACAGAGATAGCATCTCTTTTCATCAAAAAAAAAAAAAGATTAAAAAAAGCACCGTATGTCAACTAGAGTGTTTGTTCTCTGGTCTGAGGTGAACTTTCCACTTTGCTACTGCATGTTGCATTGCGTCCTGCCTCTGTCCACATGGAACTGTCATTTTGTTTTGCCAGCTGCTGGCATTCCACTTTCTCTGGTCTTTACAT